AGATGGTAGATAGCCAATGAGGCGCCGAGTTGGCTATAATCATCTCATATCCAACAAACGCGAGTGGAATAATTGTTTTTTTAAAAACGCCTACAAAATATCGAGAATTCTTTGTGACCTTTACTGATTTGTAAAAACAATGACACGTACAGTTACACCAGTGACACGTACATCATACACCATGATGGCTAAGACAATCAGAGCTCTAGAACTGCATTATTTATCCAATGATTCAGTTTTTAATAAAAGCTATAATAGCTAATACAGGAATTAAAAGTAAAGTTTACTTTTATTTTGGACCTGATGAATCTATTGTTTTAAAGTAAATGACAAATCGGTGGCAGTTGCACTGCATTGCATGGAGGACAGAAAATAGCTGCTGGTGTATAAAAAGTTGGCACACAATAGGCTACAAGTCCCAGCAACATGACATAGGGCCAAGCAGCTGCAGGTCACAAATGTAACTTGTTGTTTGGAAAAAATTCATTCTGCTGCAAGGACAGATTTTCTTAAATATATTCTATAATTTATTATACGTGTCACACAATCAAAGTGAATTAGTACTGTGACCTGTCCCTGCAGGCCTTAAATGCACTGACTTGTCACCCAGTGTAACTATCCCAGTATCAAATCGTAAAGAAAAGCTAAAATCAATCACCTCTGCTTGGAATCAAACTCAGAACCTTTGAAATCCTAATAGACCAGAGGCAATTGCTGCCACAGAAACCATAATTTTACTGAGAAGAGTTCTATAGATCAAAAATCGATGCATCTAAACTGTCTGACAGAGAATTCAAACTCCTTTCACAAAATGGTTTGAAATTAATGGTCAGACAACTGACCTGTTGAGGCAACTTTGGAGAATATGATTAGAACAGTACAGACCATAATATAAAGAGCTTCCAAAACATCTTTTTGCAAATATTCCAGGCTCTCTACTGATGTGACGTGGTATAATATATACTACCTGACATTGCACGCTCATCTCATTCCATGACAATTATAACCATCCACCAAAGGTAATTTTGCACTTGCCAGTGACCAGGTCAACTGGATGAAATGCCACTTAAATAAGCAACGAGTCAAAAATCTGCATAGTTAATAATATTGTCTACTAATTAAAGATTTTTTTAATGCAGCTAACAACATCTGCTCTAGATTAATTCTTTCATTTTAATTCTCTAAAATTCACCTATATTGATGATATAATTTTGATTTTTCCATAGGTTAATATTTTTGTTATTTCTAGATGATAAGAAGAACTGTCAAGACTTTTAATTAACAATTTGAAACCTGGTGCATTATTCCAGTACAGAATTGGGAGCTTACGTAAGACATAAATATGGTGAAAGATTAACAGTTTTGGATCTGAAAGGAGAAGGACTCTTCAGGGTACCTGATGCAGTCACTGAACGGAGTGAAATAGAGATACTTGTGCTGGATGAAAATAAACTGATTGAATTACCAGTCAGTATCAACAAGCTGAAAAATTTCATCCTGCTAAACTTGAAAAATAACAAACTCACCAACCAACCAAGTGGTTGGTTTACCTACCAGTATACAGAGGCTGACCAAGCTTGAAAAGCTGGACTTGGATGGAAATAAACTAACTGAACTACCTGCTGAGATTAGTGACCTCAGGGAGCTGAGGGAGCTGAGTATGAGTAACAACCAGTTGGTTGGTTTCCCTACCAGTATACAGAGGCTGAACAAGCTTAAATTGGCTGTACTTGAGTGGAAATAAACTAACTGAACTACCTGCTGAGATTAATGACCTCAGGGAGCTGAGAGAGCTGTGGGTGAGAAACAACTAGTTGGTTGGTTTACCTACCAGTATACAGAGGCTGACCAAACTTGAAGAGCTGGACTTGAGTGGAAATAAACTAACTGAACTACCTTCTGAGATTAGTGACCTCAGGGAGCTGAGTGTGATTCGTAATTCTTTAACTGTTGACGCAGTAAGACGTGCCTTAAAGTTAAGGAGGAAAGGGGTACTTGTACGTGGTGTTGTAGGTTAGCACAGCGGATATTGTAGTTATTTGTATTCTAGTTTAAAACGAGATAAAATTCCACTATTTGCCTCGGAAAGGGAAGTCAGGTTTTTTTTTTCAGTTATCGGGGGTTTCGCGAATTCAGTGAGAGTTTGATAAATTAAGATATGTTCCGAAACCAGTCCAGACTATTTCCTCTGACTCCGCAGTGTTCTAACTTAAAAAGCAAACATTCATGGTCGACCAAGTGGAAAGCTTTCTTCAAGTCAATAAACAGTCAACTCCTGTAATCATTTGCCTATCCATATGTTCCAAAATATAATCAGTGAGGTAAACTACCGCAGTTTCAGTAGAGTGCTTCTTTCGAAAACCCGACTGGAATTCTGACAATAAGTCATGTTCTGTCAAAAAAGCCAAGAATTGAACTTGAATAGCGCGCTCCATAATCTTTGACACCAGGGGAAGAACTGAGATTAGTCGGTAATTATTGACATCGTTCCTTGCTCCCGATTTAAAAATAGGTGTTACTCTTGCATCCTGCCACTTAGCAGGAATAAGTCCTGTTGAGATAGTAAGGTCAAAAAAGCCAAGAATTGAACTTGAATAGCGCGTTCCATAATCTTTGACACCAGGGGAAGAACTGAGATTAGTCGGTAATTATTGGCATCGTTCCTTGCTCCTGATTTAAAAATAGGTGTTACTCTTGCATCCTTCCACTCAGCAGGAATAAGTCCTGTTGAAATAGTAAGGTCAAAAAAGCCAAGAATTGAACTTGAATAGCGCGCTCCATAATCTTTGACACCAGGGGAAGAACTGAGACTAGTCGGTAATTATTAACATCGTTCCTTGCTCCTGATTGAAAAATAGGTGTTACTCTTGCATCCTTCCACTCAGCTGGAATAGGTCCTGTTGAAATAGTAAGGTTAACCAGATACGTGATCGGTTTAGCTATAACTGGAGCTGCATCCTTCAAAAGTCTTGCAGAGATACCATGATCAGGACCCGAGGCTTTAGTCACCTTGCCAGTTAGACAGCTCCTTCTCAAACTCATTAATAATTCATCAAGTGATAACCAATTGCGTGCCCCCATTTAGGTCACATGGATGCACCTTGACACCGCGGTAAAGAGCAGCGTGTTTGGATATCCAAACACGCGTGTTTGGAAATCAGTTAGAAAAAGCAATACACAACTTAAACAAAGCTTATTACTTTTATTGTTTGCTGTTTACATTTTCGTCTTTCATTTCTGCGTCTAAGCGTCGACGAAAAATAGCAAACCTGAAAAGTAGTAAATCATAAATTTCGTAAACATTCTAAGTTTCTCTAAAGCACATTAGATTAAAGTATAACTTCTCCAAACTTACCACTTATGACTGCTGTCTAAAGGATTCAATACATTCCCTCCATTTACGTCCTCCAAATACCGCTCTAAGCCACAAACAATTCCATACAAGGAACGAGACGGATTGCGACCACCGTTCTTATTAGCAACTCTTGGGCGAACTTTGTGAGCCAATAGTTTAGGGAAAGACTATCCAGGTCCTCCAGCTTCTCTTCGAGACTTTGCACACGGTGAACATCATAATCTTTGAACACACTTTCCGCGTCAAGTATACAGAATTTTTGCTCTCGCGCTGCCGTTTTAATGGCTTTTTTTGTGATGATAATCGCGCTGGACGCGCACACGACGATTGACTACTGGAGCATTAGGGTTTTCCGATTTAGCGGAAGTTCGAGCCATTTTTCCGAGGTGTGAAATTGATTCCATTATACTGTAAAAGGTCATCTCGATTTTTTTCGTTATAAGTAAATCTTTGCATGATGTCATTGCTTATGCAAAATATCTGGCTCGTAAAAGGATGAATGAGCACAAACATGATTGGTAAATTTTGTTTTAAAACAAGAGGATTAATTTCCAGTATTTGCGTCTATCAGTCGCATTTGGCCGATACGAGTACGCTGCAAATAAATTCACACTCGGTGCTAACGGTTTTTAAAAGTCGTTTAAAAGATAAAGCATATACGCTAACACGGAGAAAAGTAAACAATCTGCTTTTGTTTGCTAGATGATATCCTGGGCAGGGAGGGAATCTCTCACTATATCTGATTTTTCTCCTTTAACCTGCGATCAGGCGGTCCTTAGAATTTCCCATTTTCTTTGGGAGGCCTGATCGCAGGTTATTTCTATATTTGCTACGTCAAACGTAAATAAGAATCGTTTTCATTGTCTCATCGAGTGCCATATAAATACTATAATTTATAAAAAGAAAAGGAACAACCTTGTATATCTCCTCTCCTACAAATTGGGAGAGACGGCGGGAAGTCTCCAGGCATCGTATCTTGCAATTTCGTGTACTTGTGGATATCTATTCGACTCTGTGCATTTTGTAGGTTAGGGTGAGGGTTGAAAACTATGGCAAAAGCTCAATAAATTAATACAAACGGCATAACGTGCAATCATAGTTATTGGTGCAATCCAACTAACTAAGCGAATGCAAATATTTTTTGACACTGGCGCGAAATTCCATGAGTTCCCACTAAGGTGCGGAATTGCAGAAGAAAGCCTCATAAGAAATGAATATCTCGTTGTTTGAAACAAGTTAACCATGAAAAGCAGTTTTGACTGGCCTTAAGGAATATTCTACCCTAAAGGGTTTGATAACATTATTACGAATTGACCAAAAAGCACTGTGTACATTTCAATTGTCGTTTTAGAAAGGTAAAGTAAAGTGGATCACACACAGATATTTATCCAGTGGATACAGTTATCCACCTTTCGCACATCTGGGCCCTGTACTTCAGTCAGGACAGGTATACTGTGTCGTGGCATGGATACTTAAAGCTAGCTATATCAATTTTCTCTTTTTGGTTTTGTAAACTAGGTGGCTGAACTTTGAGAAAGTCATCAACGCTTCGTTTTCCAAGCCAGTTTATTACCTGAGTATAACAAAGCTACGGAACCATGCCAAGGAGAAGTGCTTCATCGATGATGAGGAAGAGTTTACCACCATGGTGAATTTCTATCATGACCTGGGAATAATTATCGAGCACCGTAGCACAGTCATCTTGAGTACCCAGTGGCTGATAGACTTGTTCGGGCAGCTGATCACTATTCCAGATTTTACGAAAATGGTAAGAAATACAATTTAACGTGTTTTTAAACTTGCCATGTTTTATAACGCTCCCCATTTTGGATGACATCACGGTTGTCAAACCGTGCAGTAACAAATAAAAATGATTATGTCACATGCATTGCACGCTATCTTTTGTGTGTGTCATCAGCACAATCTACCTTTAAAGGGGTGCAATGGAAGTACATTGCATGACTTGTAGAATTATCCTCAAATGTAGTCTTAAAGGAACGTCTCACAAAAAAAAGAGTGGAAAGATACATATACGTCTGCTGAAACCAGCGACTCTTTATGTCGACCAATGAGGACGCGCTTTTATAGTTTGTGGAAGTGAAATTTGGACCGTAAGAATTTTCCGGCGAGTAAACCAAACGGAGGATTCTGGCATTTACGTGGCGCTTTAAAGAACATTCTATAGATTTAAAATCTGAGGTCTGTTAAAAAGGTCTTTTTTCGCCCCCAGAGAGATTTATTCACAGTTGTACTTTCTAGGCAGTCTTTCGTAATTTCCATTTTATGTGTGTCCTCACACAAATCCCCAAATTACAAGGAGGAAAGTTTTCCTTGAATGTTTCCTTAAAATGTTAAGTATTTTATTTCTTTTAGAGAACTTGCTAAAACTTATTAATATAACATTTAGAAATGTAAAATGATCCTGGAAGAAAGCTATTTTGAATAGTTTTGTGATCATTCAATCAATCAAATCAATCAATCAATCAGTCTTTATTCTTCCTAAGATAAAAAGACATATATTAAGTTACATCAGCAGTTGCGAGTCTGAAAATACATAAGACATACTGTATACAAATAATAGAAAGATAAAAATACATAAGACATACTATATACAAATAATAGAAAGATCAAAGATTATATCTAAAAATAAGCCTATTTACAAAAACATTCTTAAATGTACCAGTCTTTATATCCGGGCGATGAGCACTTTTGTTTCTGAGTTGATACCTTGTTTCTTTCTTCTTCGGCAGGATGTTACTAAGCTGGCAATCGGGATCCACTGAACGTATCTTGAAAAGATTTTTATCTGCCTTTTCTAAAAGTTCTCGGATGTCCATTCTCTTAGATGTGTATTTCCTTTTAAAGCATCTATCCAGAAAGTTTTGTATGACCGTTAGATCTGAGTCTACAGACCATAAGTGAAATTCGGTAAAACTAAGGCGCTAAATAGGTGGTCTACTTCACCTTGACTGAAACCTTCCTTCCGTAAAGATCTTAATACAAACAGACACTTATAGTATTTGCCTTAATCAACTTAGCACCTACGTGTTCGCTATATTTACAATTCTCTTGAAACGTAACACCTAAAATGAGCAACGAATGTTATTAACTTGCACAATATCCTGAATAAGACCTTTCTTGCGAAAAATAATTTCTTTACATTCCTCTTGTTATTCCGTCTTAGGTCCCTAAGTTTGCAAAGCACTGGAAGGAAGTCGAAGAAAGCGGTGTTCTCAGCATGGGACTGCTTGATCATGTGTTTTCCAAATTTCTTCTGGACGGCGTTGCCAGGAAAGACATTCTGGATTTGATGGAACAATTTGGATTGATTGCAAAATTTTCATCTTCAAAGACAGGTGAAAAGTATTTTGTGCCATCTCAACACCAAGCTTCGCCTGATTCCCTTTGTTCCATGGCGCCCTCAAGGCTGGACCCTTGTCCTCTGTAGGTTTACTTCGTCACCGGCTCTTTTCCCCATGGTCTGTTCACTCGACTTGTTTCTCGATCTGTCCGTTGGTGTCCTGAGGCTGGTCCAACTCAGCCCCCTACCTTGTACCAAAATGGAGCGTGGTTTGTTATTGAGAAGAAAACTGTCCATGATTTTTTCTTATTTTTAAGAAGCAGTTTATTAAGTTCTTTATCAAGCAAAGAAAGCACCCTCAGCAGATCTGTGTGGATGAGACAAGTGAGATGGCAGTGCAGGTTCGTGAGTTTGTGGAGGCAACTTTGCAAGCTTTGTCACGTGATCTCTATAAAGGTGGATTGCAGTATCATATTCGGGTCGCCTGTCCGTATTGTCAGCGGGAAAAATACTCAAGCCATAATCAGATTGCATGTTCTCATGAAGATTGTCTTCACCTCCTTGAGGTAAGACAAGGCGTTCATCTGATTTGCAAAAAGAAACCTACAGATGAAGTACTCACAGTCAAAGAATAGCAAAAATGGTTCTCACAGACACCAAGTAAGGTAGGTAGCACTGAAATCTCATCTCTATCAGTGCAGTTAGCTTCTTACATATAAATGGAAAGTTAACGTAAAATTCTGAAAATAAGCCCCTCCATGTTTAAGCCCCCTGCAAATAAACAAACTCGTAACGCAAAACAACCTTCTATTTAATCGCCCCTCCGAATATAAGCCCCCCAGGGGCTTTTACTTGGAAATTGCCCTCAAACACAAAATAAAGCAAATTAAAAACAGTACAGTAACACATAACGTTTTTAATTTGCCAAAGAACTATTCCTCGTGCCAAATGATTGCATATTTCTACTAAACTGATATTATGCTGCTGAAAGGTTAGTCATTTATTTATACTTAAAAAGCTTCAACAAAGTTTGTGTGTGTCATTATTAGGTGATAATAATATACAGCGTAGGCCTTCATTTAACCTACCACAAACCCTTCGCTGGGTAAAAAGAAGCACACAATAGTACTTAAAATCAAGTAATTTGATAAGGTCAGTTGGCTACCATATATGACTCAAAATTCTATTCAAGTTATTTTAGCACTTTGCCCGACAAATGGCTAGCCTTGAACGGAGAATCTCTTTACAGTGGCCAATTAACATCATCAACTCTGTTGTTAAAATACCTACTGCAGCCATAGCAGTGGGTTTTCATAACCGTTTCTCAAGTCTTTCTTAACAAGCTGTTTCCTTTACAGTCAAACGATAAGTTTATCGCTTCTAACTGGATGATAACATGTTTTGCAAACTTTCTTTCAAAGCGGTAAACATCCCAGGTGTACACTTTCTATTTTAAAATATGCAATTTTTGTTTCTGTACAGGACGTGTGTACTCCATCATCACCACCATCATCATCATCATCTGATGCTGAACAAGGTCATTCAGAGCGTTTAATATTGAAAGTTACTCTCCTGGCAAACGAATGGGGGTCTTCTAAGGGTGGTTTGGCAACATTAAACAGATCTCTTGCCACACATTTGGCAAAAGACCCACACGTAGAGAACACCATTCTTGTACCTAAATTTGAGTACGGCAAAGAAGACAAAAGAGCTGCCAAAAGTCACAATATTTGCATCACGGAAGCAGGGAATCTCCCCGGCTTCAGTGATCCTCTTGACTGGCTGATCGTTCCTCCAGAAGACCTTGACATTAGGTTGTGATCGGCCATGGAGCAAAGCTTGGCAGACAAGCGCAAATTATCAGAAAGTCTCATCGATGCAAGTGGGTGCAGGTTGTTCACACTGAGCCTGAAGAGCTGGCGATGCATAAGAACTATCCAAGCGCCATTGCCAAGGGAGAAGGGAAGAACAGAGCTGAAGTTGACCTTTGTCAAATTGCAGATCTTGTTGTAGCCGTTGGACCTAAGTTAAAAGAAGCGTTCTCGCGCATGTTGCGTTCATCTCATCGAGATATCTTTCAGTTAATACCAGGTTCCTTTGCAAAGGTTTCAGATATTGAACATGCTGCGCAAGATGGTGTAAATTTCCGAGTATTGACCTTTGGTCGCGGTGATTTGGAATACTTTAGTCTTAAAGGATACGACATAGCCGCTCAATCCATAGTTGAATTGAAGGACAGTTCCTATAGTCCTCTTTTCGTTGGTGGATCCCATGGAAGGCAGGATGAAGTCGCAGAAATCTTACTCCAGACTGGCATTTCAAAGAACCAGCTGATCGTTAGATCATTCGTGAAAGGCAAACAAAGATTAAGAGAGCTGTTTTGTGAAGTCGACCTGGCCATTATGCCATCAACAACTGAGGGGTTTGGTTTGACAGCATTAGAGGCCATGTCAGCTGGTCTTCCCATTCTAGTTAGTGGAAACTCTGGATTTGGAAAAGCACTTCGTGGTCTTCCAATGGGTGAGTCATTTGTGATCGACTCTAATGACCCCAAGGAATGGGCAAAGGCAATTGCAGCCATCCGTCAAAAATCAAGGACACAGCGGCTTGAGGAAATCCAAAGTATGCGAAGAAGTTATGACGAAAGATTCAGTTGGGAGAGACAGTGCCAGGCCCTTGTCGCCAGAATGTGGAAGATGGTCTATGGTAAGAAATTAACTTTGCTAAAGGGCAGTAACGATAATAGTAATTATTAGTTTAAACACGGTGATAATGTCAAGTGCGTATCTCATCAGGATTAGCGTTTGTTTTGCCCTTATGTTTCATCCCTGTATTTTAGTTGCTTCAGCAAGAGCAAGTGCGTAAGCAAATTTCATAGTATTATGTTAGGCGGTACATGTGAATGGCTGCAGAAAGATTGCCAACGTTAACCTTTTAAACCTTAATAACAGCATTCATATTCTCCACACTGTTATCCATACATATCTTGTGTTAGTGATAAGGAGAATTTGTTAACCAATCGAGATTTCTTCACGTGCTGCTGGGTCTCTCTTTTAGAGACATTAAAGAGAATGACAGAGAACCGTCCAGCTAAAACTTTGGCTTATAATATATCACACAAAATAAATGGAGGGCTTCTCAGATCGGATTGTTTATTTTTTTCAAGTTTGACAATTTTTTCTGTAATTCAACGTTTTTTTCAATTTTTTCAGGCGTAGAAAAGACACAAGAAGATGCCGTTCCACAAAATGACTTTGAAAACGATGCTGCAAAAGGATCGATGCCTGGTGATGTAGTTGTTTGTTTTCTCAAATAAACCAAAGCCAAAACTTATTTTTGTTGTAGAATGGGGTTATTTTGTTTCTTTGAAAGCACGGCAAATTTATATTGTCGGCTGTTTTTAGTATAGACCAGTTCATCATGTCCTATTAAACTGACGCGAAATAACCTCATTCTTTTCTTAATAATTTCCTTCTGCCGTCTACAGGCGAACCCATTTTCCTTGCACTTCAACAAATCCTGCTGGAAGCACGCATAGAGTCCAGCAAAACTGATCTGTCGCAGGTTTTACAGAGGACTGCGCTGGAAAAAGGTTTTGCGATTTCTGACAATCAAGGAGAGGGGAACTGCATGTTTTTTGCACTTTCAAAGCAGCTTGACCTCATCAAAGGAATTCAAATGTCCCATGATGAGTTACGCCGAACTATTGTTCAATACCTTCGGGAAAACCCCAGGCTGGTAAGTACCTTATTATATTTTCTAGAGTGGATTCATTTGCCCTGGATGCGTAAGCCGTCGCATTTTCCCGCTGAAAATTTTATTGTTTTTAACGTTTAAGGCAATAAGGCCTTGTTCTGACGTCTCCAAAAATACGCGTACACACTTAGCGTTTTGCTTTTTTTTCGCCCTTTCACATAAAAACGCTGAAATTATTGAAATACGATAGCATCCCTCACAGAGGAAACGCAGTGCTGGTAGCTTATAATGTGTGACATAAATCGTAGTAGAAACCTCTGTTTTCGTCCGTCCACACGTAAACGACAAGTTGGCGGTTTTTAAAGTCCACTCTGGGGACCGCGCTCTGGGCACCTATGTTTTTGGTGCCCGAACAGGCCGTTTACGTGTGGGCGGAAGGCTAAAAATACCCTGATGCGGCCTTAAATTCCTACAACCAAATGTGACGGCTTTACGGGTATGATGCAAATGAATCGACCCTTTATGAGCAAAACAACAGGTCTGCACGAACATCACGCTAGCTTGTACTTTCCTTCGTCGTCCACTGCACGACTACGACGTGAAACTTCCTAATCCGACGTTTTGTGGAGGACCTCGAACGCACGGCGACGAATTATTGGTATTGGATCCGGATGCTGTTTTTAGAATTTAAATCCAGGAAAATTCGCCTACATGTGTTAAGTTGAACAACGCTACATGAGCGTAATAAAGTTAAAAAGAACGCAAATTCATTTTTTTAAATAACGTTTTCGACTCGGAGGTATAAGTGGAAACGGATTTTAGGAAATCTGTTTCTGTCGCCTGGATTTTCTGGCTTTTGTCCTAAGGGACGTATAGGGGCACAGGTAATACCCTATTTTGGAGCGGAGTCTCATTACTCTGAAGTGGAATAAAAAGCGTCGATGACGCCATGAATGAAATGCGATGTAATCTCATCAACATAACGTCAAGAACTATCTTTATGTAGTGTCTAATTTAACCAGTTATTCTTATATTTTTGATGTAACTTGGAGGGATCATGTCCTTATTTGGTGAGAATGATGTCATAGTTATTTTAAATTATGTTCGTCATGTCCTTATAAGGTCATGAAACCACCTGACCTGTTACTTAAAATCACTGAACCGTGACGCCTTCATTGTCCATTGCAGACAATTTAGTCTATGTTTACACTATACTGGGTAGCTTTTTCGCCGGCACAAAAATCGTACCAGTTAGGGCCTCTGTTCACACACAAGAACAGTGATTTCCGTCACGAAGCGAAGCTGCGTCGTGCCGAATAGGTGTTCATACCATACCGGACCGCTTTTCGTGTCATCACTGAAGGTTATCCAGAAAAGTGTGAACAAAGCTTTATTGTTCCTGGTTTCGGTTCACTGACGCCTTCGAAGTTAAAATATTGGACTTCAAAAAGACGTCTAACTGATGCGTCCTATACTACTGAGGTGGACATATTCTTTCTAGTGCCGATACTAATGGTGTCGTCTTAGAGAGAGCTGACAGCGCAGCTGCCTGAATATATACCTTCTACAAAAGCACTTTACCTCTTTCTCTGTTAACTTCAGTATTTTCTTTTTTTCTTACAGCCGGATGGGACAGAACTGTTTCATTTTGTTGATGGATATCCATCTTGGGATGCCTACCTCACAAGCATGATGGTAGATGGTACATGGGGTGATCACGTGATTCTACATGGCGCGGCAAACTGTTTTGGAACGTGCATCTACGTGATTAGCAGTCTTCCGCATCGCCATGACGTAACGATCTGCCCAGAATTTGATGTTACTGGTAGCAACCGGCTTGTGCTGGGTCACCTGCACGAGCATCACTATGTTAGCCTTATTCCACATAACGGAAGTAAAGATGTCTGAGTATACTGCGATTCAAGAGTTGCTTACTCGCGATATCAAATTGAAGACATTTGAGTGGAACAACTGACTGAACCTTTGTTTTGGCACCGAATTTGAAAAGATGTTGGAAAAAAAAAGACGTCGGTTTTTTTACATGTACAATTTTCAATCTGTCAATGTTGTTATTAAGGTACAATTAGCTGTATCAATAGACTGAGTAAAATTTTTCGGCCTCAAAAAATTCCTGCAGCTCCCTCAATTTCTTATATAAATTACTTTAGTTTTCTTAATAAAACTTGGTTTTTAGGGCCACCACCTTGCCAGCAGTCCCCTGTAAATACTCCACCATTTGAACCTGTTGTTGTAAAAATCCTTGGAAAATACACGTACTAATGATTACCTACCTTATTCTCCTTAAAAAAATTCGCGAACTTAAAGACCCGCGAAAAATAACGACCGCGAACTTTGATCTCGCGAAATTTAATGGACATAGAAAAATCATGTAGTGGTGTTTTCAAGGGTCCTAAACAATTTTTAACACAAGGTGTTAGTACAAGGAGCTATCATTTATCAACTTTAGATGTTCATATATCAGTGTCAAGATTCGCCTCAAGTTCTTCTTCGGCATCTGAGTAATCATCTTCGCACAGTTCCTGCAATACATCCTTTGTACAGTCGTCAAATTGACCATCCTGTCCAGGCTCCTTGTAATGTATAGTTACGAGTGTCGACTTGTATCTTTACATTATTGCCCTGTTCCTTGGTGTATCGTCCATTTCACATATCACCTCAACAGGAATTTCCAGACCTCCCTCAATCAATGGGGATCGATGATAGTTTTCATCAGTAACTTTAAGATAAACCATCCCAGCTCTCAATAAGAAAAAGCGAGTGGCTCTAGAAATCTCTATGGGCAAATGGCCCATAATCGAATCGGCCAGGCGACCACGGAGCCGTTTGTTAGCTGCGATTGCGTAACGATCGTAGATATTGTTTCGTTCGTGAGAACATCTCAAAAGCTCCCCGACGATGGGCTTCCAAATTTCTTTGTAAACGTGGACTTAATCGTCAATTTCGCGAAATTAAATTCCCTGCAAACACAATTTTTCTCCGCGATCGCGAAATTAAAAACTCGCGAAATGTGCTGAGAAAATTTTCGCGAAATTTAAGTCCCGCGAAAATAAAGGAGAATAAGGTAGTTTCTCTCTCTGTGAGTCATGTCGCTGATGATTATTACTATGGTTGCAGCGTGTGTGAACACTCGGTTTTAACGCCTGTCAGTATACAGGCCAACAAGATTTTTTAGCAATTTCATTAGCATTTAGATGTTAAGAACAATTTTTGCTCCACCTGTTTCTTGGCCGCAGTCTCTGAAAATATTCAGTGTCAGTTTCCGTACTGAGTAGAATTTGTTCGTATAGGATCAATCCTTTTTTAAGATACTCCTTACCACAGAACTTAGTCGAAGACTTTTCTAATCGAGTTTGTTCTTTAAGAACTGTTCCTGTTTCTGGTGCGCTTTTATTAATCTGTAAATACTTTCAGCCATTAGAGCGACATTTAGCCATATTCGAGATCATCTGTTGTTCCACACCTGTGACGTCACGTCACGTGATAGACTAAATGGAAGCGTTAATTGCGGAAGTTCAAGTAAGCCGCAAATTTAACACTTTGAATTTTCGATTTCTGAGCCAAATAGATCGCTGACGATATATTTCTTGATCGTATTACAATTAGAAAAACATTTTCAAGGTTTTTCCGAAAAATGTTGTCCTACGCGAGAGTTACCCTTTAAGGCGAATTACTGAATGACAGTAATCATTATCTAACTTGCGAATACAAGTAGTATAGGGCGCACCGGTTACTCCGGTTTTTTTGGGAGGAATCTCATTAAGGTGGGGAGAATAAATTAACGTCGCTGACGTCGTAGGTTATTGTCTTGATCTCATGAATAAAATGCTGTGCTATCTCATAAAGATAAGGTCATGTGCTATTTTTAGATGGATGATGTCATGGTTGATATAACTGGTTTATTTTTGTTTTATGACATAACCTATTGTCTTGAACTCATGAATAAAATGCGGTGGAATAAATTAGCGTCTATGTCGTAATACTCTATTGTCTTGTACTCATGAATAAAATGAAGGGGAATAAATTAGTATCTATGTCGTAATAACCTATTGTCTTGAACTCATGAATAAAATGCGGTGGAATAAATTAGCGTCGTTGACGCAAGAGTCTTTCGTCTTTATTCATAGTGCGGTGATTGTAGAATGTATTCTATCTTTCAAATAAAAGCGGGCTCTCCGTTCACCATTTTATTATTGTCACAAACTCCAATAAATAATATTTTTGAGCGGATAGCTTCCAAACATACTAGTCAACGGTCCGAAAACAGTACTCGACTTAAAACTATTCACTGTGACCAAAGATAAATATTTTTATTCTACAAAACCATTGATTCTGTTTTGTCAATATAATTCAACCTTCAAACGTTTCTAGACTGTGGTATCGAGCGTTAACCATTAACAGGTTGGCCTTTTTCCTTTTAGACCTGTATCATACGAAACAAAACGAGCGCAAGCGAACTGTATTTTATTATTCATCGCAAACTAATTTAATATACACTGAGCCAACATGAACGCTTGTCGCATAAATTATCCACGGGAATCAACTCAATTATATATAAACAATGGTGGGATTAATACGCGCGTGCTACAACCAGACTACACCTTTGTTTCAGTTAAAAAATACATTTATTGATAACAAAACCATCAAAGTGTTACAACAATAGATGAATAGACAGAGTTCCGGCTTAGTCTTCGGGAACAGTTTGTTTGACAAACAATCGATTGAGTAAGAATTTCCGCTTATTGATGGCAAGTTCTGTCGATTCCAGCCAGTCATATCCTTCTGTGTCTTTGAGATCTTGGCGGGTTTCCATCACTTTTCGGAATGTCGGATCTTTCTTCATTGCATGCATCCACTGTAAAAACTCTAAGAACACTTTTCTCAATTCCTTTCTATATACTGGAAGCAAAGCATTTTCAGCTTTAATGCGGGCCACTTCAGGCGAGTCTCCGTTTTGTTCATATTCGTTGATGAGAGTTCGAGCTGGGCTTCGTGGCGATTACAAACTTCATTTTGAATGCGTGACCAAGGATCTACATGCTCCTCCTCCTCCTCTCTGGAAGAGTCCATTTCTTCGCTAGATTGAGAACTTTGGGATGATTGTTCGCTTTCTTGTGAGCTTTCAATATCGTCGTCATTTCCATATCCTTTTTGAACGAAATGGTTATAATTGCTGAACATTGTGATCCGAACTGCACGATGTTTAAGAACTGACTGAATCAGAAACAGCGGCTTACTTCTTTTATAGCTATCGATGGAGGCACGGCTGCAAAGCACAACGGAACTCTATGAACTTTCATTATACCCTTCCTGTACCCCTACTGTACCCCTCCTGTACCCTTCCTGTACCCCTACTGTACCCCTCCTGTACCCCTCCTGTACCCCTGAATTCTCTTAAGTACTCCCCACCATTGTAAAATAACTATATATTAAATGATTCTGTTAACTGTGAGTCATTTTTCATGAGCAGTCATGCCTCGAACGTTTCCTCGAATTTGTCCGCTATGTGGCAAAGCTGGTGTGTCCAACTTGAGTTCTCATCTTGAAATTGTCCATGACTTAACCGGGCTAAGACGAACACGACTCTTAAAAGAGGCTAAGGTTTTCTTGGGAATCAAAAAGAGAATATATTTCTACAAGCGTCGACTTACCTCGTTGTTCATCTAGTTCCACGAGAAAAATATGTGAGCCAAGAAAAAGAAGAAGACCAGTAAACGAAACGCCGAAAACTTCTTCACTGCGAAGAAGGTAAAGCTTTCCCATGATGTTTCCTTGGCAACCGAGCCTTATCCAGATTTTATGTTTCGCCATAAGTTCTCACTCCTTGTGGTTGGACCAAGTCAATCAGGGAAAACAGTTTTCGTAGAACAGATTCTAACGAGAGATCGTATTGTCTACGAAACCAACAAGCCCCGTCGCATTTTATGGTATTACAGTCAGTGGCAAGATAGATACGAAGCTTTGAAATCAGCGATCGGAAAGGACATTAAATTTTTTCGTGGCCTTCCCACATTTCAAGAAGATCTGCGAGAAATTGACCCAAAATACAACAACGTTATCATCTTTGATGATCTAATGGCA